GCGCAACGAAAAAATGAATCAAAGATCAATGAACGAGTGAAAGGTGTAAAAAAAAAAAAAAAAAAAAAAAAAATTCACGTGCGGGGCAGATTGCGGATCACGAACTTTCATTCTTGTTTTCTTCCTTTTTTTTTTTGTTCGTTTTCTCTTCTTCTTCTTCTTCTTTTTTTTCTTTTTTTCCTTACAAAGAGATATTCCAAAAAGGGGTGGGGGGCGATGTTTTTCGTTGTTGGGATCGAAGATCGTTTCGCGCAGGGCAACAACGAAAATCCTGTAAAAAGAGCGATTGTATCTCTCGGTCAGCGTCGTGCTTCTCTGTACGTATTTTGCGTATCTGTCATTTTCTCTGATGTTTTTTCCGTGTGCGATCGGCCATGGAAAAATTCGAGTGATAAAAATTTTGATTCGTTGTTTCGACCGGAAAATTAATATTTTCAAACGTGTTCTCTTCTCGTTAAGGTGAATCGTTTCAGGAAAAAGGAGCGTCAAGTGATCTCGAAGTAGCGTAAATGATGATGATCTTTGACAAGAAGTAAAGCAAATTTCTTTCTCTTGGATTATCCTTATTTATTTTTATTATTTCCGATAATTATTAATCGAGGCTGTCGAACGTTTCTTCTTTACTTGTTTCTTTTTCTTATCTTCCCTTTTTATCCTATTGTTTTATTCCGTGAATTTACCATCTATGGTCCTCGTTGATGATATTTTCAATGAAACTGGATGTTTGGTGAACTTTGGTGTTCTTACTACTGTGTGCATATTGACATATTTTTTTTTTTTTGTTTGTTTGTTCGTTCGTTTGCGTATTTTAGTTTCTTGGCACTTTCGTCGTTTTTCTCTGCATTCTTTTCATCTTTTTCTTCTTCTTCTTCTTCTTCTTCTTTGTTTCATTCTTCTTTTTTTCTTTTTTTTTTTTTACAAAACGTTATTTTCACTCTTGTGTCTTTAAATATTTACGCTTGATAAATAAATACGGAAGCGTAGGCCTGCGGGCGAAAAAGGCTTTTCAGGAAACGACAAAGACGGAAATCGCGTCACATAAAACTGCGAGCCCGATCGCCTTTGTTGCACGTCATCGAAATATCCGTTTACTCGCCGAGCGGACCTGGCACCACCGTTTTTCCCAAATATATTAAATATATTATACAATTTATCGGACTAAAATCTCCTTTAACTCCTCTTTCGAGCGACAGACGCGCACAGCGCAAAAAGCTGCGCGCCGTGCCCTTTTTTTTTTTTTTTTTAAATCTTTCATCACTTTTTTTCACTCTTATCTTTATTTTATTTCTTACTCTACCTCTTTCTCTTTGTCTCTCTCTCTCTCTCTTTCTTTTTTTTATCCGTTAAGTTACATACTCTTTTTTTTCTTTTTTTTTCTTCTTTTTTTTTTTTACGAAAAACACTCCGCTTCTCTTCTTACTCCACCTTTCTCTTATATCTCCTTATATCTCTATTTAAAAAATGTCTTCGCCTTCTCTCTTCACGCCTCGCATTTTTTTTTTTTATTAATATCGTTAAAATTCATTAAGTTATTAAAAACATCTAACAAAAAAATTGAAAAAGAAAGATTCACTTAGATCTCCCCAACAATGTATCAAAAATAAACTTATTACTCTTAGATTCATTTTCTCTTTCTCACAGTATTTCTCATCGTCCTTTTTTTTTTTTTTTTTTTATCTTCGTTTCCTTTATTTCATACTCACTCGCGTCGCTTCTTCTCTTCTCGTTTCTTCGTCTTCATCCTTTTTTTTTTTTTTCCCCTCCCTTTCTCCATTCAAATCCGGCGTTAATCTTTTTCCTTCTATCTTCGGTCAATTTCTTTCTTTCTTTCTTTCTTTCTTTCTTATTTATTTATTTTTTTTTTTTTTAATCTCTTCTCTCTTCCTCTTATTCTTTTTTTTTTTTTTTTTTAATCTTTCCGGCACTCCTCGAGATGCAGCGAAAAAGAAAAAGGCAAGGGAAACGGAGCCAGCAGCGGTGGTATATAAAACTCCCACCTCCGTCTGTGTTCATCCCCTTTGTTCTTCCCTTGCACGTACAAATCCTTTTTTTTTTTTTCTTCCATCGTCCAATTTTCCATATTACCCATATTATCGATGATATATTCCCGTGCGCACAAGTATTCTCAACACAAGTTCGTTTCTTCGTTCGTTACGCGTAGTATTTGCCTTCCACTCGATAAACAAAAATCCTAACACGCGATATATATATATATATGTGTGTTTGTGTATATATATATATCTATATATATCATTTCCCTTCCGTTCAATATACACGTTTTTTCTTTTTTTTTTTTTTTTTTTTTTTTTTTTCTTTTTTTTTTCCCCCCCTTTTCGTAAAATTGTATTCCCTTTCTACCCACGTTAAACTCGTGTATTTTTGTACTAAACGCATACCAAATGCCGTGAGGTGAACCGACGGTCGATGACCCTTGTCTTCCGATCGATTCCGATCAACCGGAAGGGATTATCGTTTTCGTCGCTGTACGCGAACCTAGCGACCGAGATTCGACGTACCAATTGAGCATCGATGATGTGCCACGAGATTTCGAGAGGAGATAGGTCAGCATCGGAAAAAAAGAAATCATTTAACGCCAAGTTTGTCTGAAATCGAATTCGACGAATTATTTCGATTCGAAGAGATCGAAGAATCTTCGAACTATAATTAGAGAGCCTGTGAATGTAATTAGCCTTGAAAAGAAGTTGAAAAATAAAGAAAGTTTACCGATTTCGTGAATAATCGTGGCACATGACCGTGCATCTCGTCAATCCGTTAATTTATCACTCCTTTTTTTTTGGTCATGTTTATAGATCATCGAAACGGAGCTAACCGTATTCGTCGATCAATTCCTCGAGTCTCTTTCGATAAATAGTGCAAATTCACTTCACCGTTCTAAATAGTCTTAATAGAACCATTATCTCCGTCTCTCGTTTTCCCCTTTAGGGGAAAGATCTCTTACGCGATCGATATTTTCCCGTTTCGAGCGAAAACGCTTCCCGCCCGTACGTTGCACGTGCGAACTATCGTATCCTCGAAATTTTTTAGATTCCCTTCGTTTTCGTGTGGTTTTTCTTTTTCTCTTTTTTTTTCTTTTTTTTTTTTTTTTTTTTTTTTGCCCTTCGCAAGTCAGAACTTAAGGATTACGATTCACGCGCAATCGGTCACGAATATTCTTTGCTCTCAAAAAGGTATTTTTTTCTCTCTCTTTCTCTTGCTTCCCCAACGTTAAAAATATTAAAAATTTGAATTCTTCTACTAAAAAAAAAAAAAAAAATTTTTTTTCTCAGCAATACCCAAAATATTCATCTCCTTTCGCAAAAAAAAAAAAAAAAAAAAAAAAAAAAAAAAAAAAAAAAAAAAAAAAAAAAAAAATGATCAGAATTATCGTGATCGATAGTACGCGCCGTGCAAGAAACGCGATATCGCTGCGAGTTTCTGCGAATAAAGTAATAACGTTACGCGTGAACGCGTATCTGTGTATGGATATCGCAGTTATGTAAACGACGTATGTGAATTCGATGAAAGTCTATCGACGATCTTTCGTAAAAATTCTGTAATTTTTATTCGTTTCTCTACTTTTCTTAAAAAAAAAAAAAAAAAAAAATTTTTTTTAATCAGTAGTACGTAGCATGTATACACTATACATACTGTATAGTATATTAGAGCAACGAATAGAGAAACGAAGAAAAATGACAAAATTTGGGAAGATCGTCGATAGAGTTTCATAAAATCAGCATGCGCTCGTGTCGATAAATACTCGCTGGACAATATCCACGCTCGCACAAACAAGGCGAAGAGCGATTTGAATTGATAAACGATGCCTTTTTCTCGTCTCTAAATATCACTCTTCCACCCCCAGCACTTTTTTCCTGTCTTTCTTTTCCATATATACGTTATTTTCCTCTCGAATTATTCCGAATTTCTAACCTTATCTGGCGCCTCTTTTGCCATATATGCCTAATCAGTAATTACTTATCAATTAATAGTATTATTCAACACACGCACACTCACACATTATTACACTCATGGTAAAGTAAAAATCCCTGAAAAAGTTTTGTGGCTCTCTTTTTTTTTTTTCTCTCTCTCTCTCTTCATCTTAAAAACTTCTTCTCTCTGTTCCCTCTTCGCTCGCGGTTTTTTCTCGCTTTTTCGTACGGTCGCTTTTTCATTCTCTCTCTCTTCTTCGTTTTTTTTTTTTTTTTTCCCCTCCTTTGTGTGGAACATCCTTCTCGTAGCACGAAACGTAGCGTTCGTTTCACGTTTCACAACAATCAAACGTATAATTTTTTTTCTCTCCGTTCATTCGTTCTCTCTCCCCGTTTATGTTTTTCCATCGAAACATCTTTGATTCGATTACGATTCTTCTTTCCAATCACTTTTGAAAAAAGCGACTCGATGACGAAGGATGCCACTTTTCGTCAGTGTCCTTCCATTTGCCGTCAATAACCACTCGTCGATTCCCCGCAGACGCGAATATCTCTGTCTCTGTCGAGTCTGTTGACCCCTCTCGCTCTTCTTGGCTCTTGCAAGGAACTTGAGGCGAGTTGAGCGTTCGACACGACCATGTGTGTGTGTGTGTCACGCATTTTCACTTCACTAATACGCAAAAACTCATAATCGCTTCTTTGGTATTACAGGCACGAGAGGGGCCGGGGATGAGGGCGTCTGCCATGAAAACTTGCCGGCTTATGTCTAACTATAGAACGTGTCACGTTTCGTTCACATTTTTTTTTTTTTTCAATAATTAAGTCTCGTTAATTAATGTCTCTCTGCGTTGTGGTATAAAAAAAACTGTACCTAGAGTAATTATTTTCTTTCCTTTAAAAAAAATCGCTTTCCTGTATAGAATACGTAGTAGAAGTAGTAGTTAATAGCAGTAGTAGTAGTAGTGGTAGTAGTAGTAGTAGTAATAGTAATAGTAGTAGTAGTAATAGTAATAGTAGTAGTGGTAGTAGTAGTAGTAGTGGTAGTAGTAATAGTAGTAATAGTAGTAGTAATAATAATAGTTGTAGTAACATGTATAACGTAATTGTGTAATCGTTACTTAACTTCTCTGTATATTATTATAACTTTAATATTAGGTAGACTTCTTTTTTTTTTTTTAAAGATTAGTTGATTTTTATCCTTTCTCTCGTTTCACTTTTCATTATCATATTAAATCTTTAACCGTAATGAATGAGGTAATAAGGTTGTGTATGCTTATTTTTTTTTTTTTTTTTTTTTTCTTATCGTCGTATCCTATTTCATCGACGAGGTGGTTTCGTTAATGCTGCGAAATCGCTTCGTTTGAGTATCACCCGTCGCTTTATCTCTTGATAAAAGCGAACTCGCAACGAAACATGTCGCAATTCGCGTAGAAAGAAGTGAGCGAACGGCCTGTGTATCTTTTCGACGGAAGAATTGATTATAACTTAATTCCTGCTTCGAATAGGCAGGAATTTTTCGTCTCACCTCGTCTCGCGTGATGCGGTTTCGATTAGCTGACGTGCACTTCCGTCTGATTCAACGCGGTACCCTGCATCGCTTTTACCTCAGAGCTGTGTATCCCGAGCCGTTCGACTCTTTATTAATAGCGATGTAAGCCGAGTGTCACGATCAATGGCAATAAGTCAATAATTTATAGCGTATTCTGTTACAAAAATCTATCTAAAAAAAAAAAACGACGCTCTATGTTTCGTACATTCTCGAAAAATAGCGACAAAAGACTCTTACGATATATGAACTCGCGTATCCAAACTTAAATAAAAAGGAAAAAAGGAGATAAAAAAAAAAAAAAAAAAAAAAAAAAAAACACCAAAAACAAGAAAAGAAACGCGCCATCGATCGTATCCCCCTCTTACCGTTCTGAATCAAACTTATACGATTTTGAAGATTATCGAATCCTATTGCGTGTGTATATATATTGTATGACATTTTGAACTAATAGTTTTCGTGATGTGCCCCCCGTGTTATGCACATCGAAGGATACATAGCCCGCGAGAAGGAGGTCGCACGTAGCCTTCTCTTGACGAGAAGAGAATGTGAAAGCGACGAGGCCACCCCGGCGATTAAAACGGATTCCGAGAGGCGTTTTGGTCGGCGTCAGGTAAGTTTCAGTGATGTTACTGATTTTGTGGCTGCTGTTGGCTGGAGGGCGAAGTGCTCGACTGTTGCTGAGTCGGATGTTGTTGCGTCGTTGTACCGCCTTGTTGAGATGTGGCACTGCCGTCTCTTCGAGAACGTGAAGCTTCTTGGCTGCTACCACGACCAGCGCGTGAGCCAGCAACACCTGCTCCAGGTGCACCAGAGGATTGTAGAACCATGGCGCGAATTCTTCTCTGTGCCGACTGTGAACCAGAGAACGAGTGAAAAAAATTTGACATTTATTTATATCGTCGACCGATTGCGCACCGTATCGTTCGTAAAAGAAACGTCGTTTATTTAATGGAAACGCTTGATATACCTGAACAGAGAAGAAGGGGCCAATTATTTGGACGGTGGCCTCTTCGTCGGCAGAAGGAGATGTAGATTGTTGCTCCGATAGCTTTATGATACTTCCAGTTACACGTTGCAATTCTCTAACATTTTGTCCACCCTTGCCAATGATTCGGCCAACTTGAGTACTCGGCACGAGAATTTCGATTGTTAATCGGACGTCCTCCGTCCCGGCTACGAATCCTTCCTCGCGCATTTTCTCGAATATTAAGTATTGAGCCTGAAAATGAACGTACAACGTTACGTAATCTAACAAACGCAACAATCGAACGAACAACGAAAATATTTTTTAAAACGGGAAAAAAGTGTCGAAGGTTGTAACGGGACCAACTTGCACATGCATTTATGGAAACATGTCATTGGTACGGGTAACCCTTCGGTTTTTTGATCTTCCTGCTTATTCAAGAGGATGCTTATGAGAGACGGCACCTTCCCAAATGAAAGCAGGTTTTATATATATATATATATATATAACCTTAATCTCTATTCTCTATCCCTATTTCTTCGCATAAAATGACGATAAAATCGAACGAAAAATACTTGTACGAGATGTCGGGATTCGAACGAGCAACTTTGGCGTTTGTAACGTTAGCCTTTAACCAACTGAGCCACGAGGTGGCTGCATCATAGAAACGATATTTTCATATATTAAACTTTTTTTCTTCACTTTTTCTCCTAAATTAAATATCCCTCGATCTAATCGAAAATTTTTAGACTTTTGACTTACCTTCCACTGAGATTCGGGAGACCCGACGATGGTTACTTTCCTGTCATTTTGTTGATCCACAGGTTTATCCTGCTCGATAGGTGCGATTTTCACACTGGCGCCGGAGAATCTGATAATGTTTCTGATGTGAGAACCCTTGCTTCCTATTATGGCACCTACGCTGGTATTTGGAATATAAAGGAAAGCAGTTTCTTGGGTATCGCCTATCGGAATACCCTGTTGAGTCGGCAAACTAGCCTGATACGGATAGGGAGCTGGGCCAGAACCGTATAAACCAGGACCACGTGAACTGTATCCCATCCCAGCAGTGGACATCATCGCCATGGGATGGAGTCCCGGGAACATCAAACTCTGGGGCTAATAACATCATCACGTCGTTAATAGTTTATTCGTAGAATTTAATAGAAATAAAGTCCAAAGCTTAAATTTTTCTCTTCTCTTTATCTTTCATTTCTAATTCTTATACTTACAGCCATTGCCTGCAAGTCGTTCTCGTAACTCTGACGCAATTTGTTGGAGATCATCGATTCGGCTTTGCTCATATTATCGATGCTGCCTTTTACCGTGATGATGCGTTCAAGATTGAAATTGTTGATATCGTTGATACTGCTTACGGTTATTTTGGTGTCGGTGTCTTGCATGATCTTTTTAATGGTAGTGCCACCCTTTCCGATGATTCGACCGATCAAATTGTTGTGCGCGAGGATCCTTAATGATATCTCACTGTTGACGCGTAAAAAATGCAATAGTAGAAATATTCCAACTTCGTTTATTATCATCACTCTCGTACAAGACAAAATAGTTTATTATTTAGAAAATCTTACCCCTTACTCAAACCGTAAGCCTCTTGCTGCGTGACTTCCATGATTTTCTTGCAGGCGTTCGTACAATTCTCTGGATTACCATAGATAGTGATGGCTTTCTCTGCCGCGCCAAGACTGTCCTTTCGATGAACGTCTACTCGTGCGCGCGTCATCTGAGTGATCTGACGTATGGTCGATCCTTGACGACCAATTATGGCTCCTACCATTTCCGATTGAACGAGAATACGAAGCGGGAAATCTGCTTGCCGCCCAGAACCCGAAACTCCTGAATAAGCTACGCCGCTTCGCTGGCTGCGGCCTCTTCGTCGGTTCTCCACCGTAGACATTTCCACTTTTAGTGGGCTACCTTCGTATTCGTGGCCATTAAATTGGTTCACAGCCCTGCAGAGAGAAAGAATTGTTACACGATTGCAACACGTGAATTTTCTATAACTATGAGATATTCGGAAAAATTATTGAGATTATGAAAATCGAATTTTGAAAAGTAAATCGTCGAGCTTGAAACTTACTGTTGTGCTTGTTCCTGCGTCTCATAACTGATTAGGACGGTTTGGGTGTTGGGGTCTCGGGAGGATAACTTTTCAACGGACTGCACTTGTCCACAGTTCGAAAATAAAGCTTCGATATCTTCTATTCTGGCCTGAGCTGGGAAGTTGTTCACGATTACCTTTGAGGATGAAGTACTGTAAACAAATTTAGAATCTTGAATTAATAATAGTTATTTTCAACTGCGTACGTTGATGTCTTTAAATTAAAAATTCTCCCCTCTCATATTTACGTGTAAAAGATTGACGCGAATTGAAGCAATTTCAATAAACTTGACGCAGAAGATAAAAGATTCGTGAACGAGAAACAATCTGGTTAGCAAGTTGAAATAAAGTTTAAATAATAATCTATTCTTTTGTTATTTAAAAAAAAATCAAGAGAGGGGAAGAAAAGAAAAATAAGCGGCATCGATTTCTAAAGATGCAGCGTAGGTCACGCAGAACATATAACGCGAGATGTGGGTCAAGAATTTCTTGGTATCGGCTCGAGAACGTCAAAGAGGATGGCGCCCGCTAAACAAAAAGCAACTCGAGGAGGAAAAAGCGTACGATGAGTCAACACGAACGTATCGAGAACGTATACACGTCGAAATCATTATATATACGAACGAATCTTACAAAATATCGACGCATATCTAATAAATAGATTTGAGAACTTGTGAAAATCTTCTGTTTCTTAATATCTTTTTTTTAATAATACCAACATACTTATCGTTTAATAGTGTATCGACGGTATTTCATTTTTATCATAAAATAAATGTCAAGCGGTTGGATAACTCGATCGTTGATATTTTAATATCAGCCGTGTAGAAAAGAATTTTAAGAAACGATTCAAATATATCGAAATATTAACAAGAGTCTGCAATTATTTATTCTGGATGATGTTTTCGACGAAGCATCATCGACAAAGATCCCACATGTGCGGATGCCCCTGTTGACGTTCTCTCTTTCTTTCTTTCTTTCTTTCTTTCTTTCGTTCAACATCTCGTCGTCGAATTTATTTTCTCCCTTCACGAGGGGGGGGGAACAGAACGCGACATGAAAGGCATCGTGAATCAAAAACAAACTCCGTCGTACCCCTATCTAAATACCAAATACAGCCTCTTCGGTCCGTCTCTCTTCTTTTTAAAACGTAATTCCCGGGCAAAATTCACAAATCATCGTAATGTATCCTAGCGATAAATTCTTACCCCTTTTCGTTTCGTTTCCCCTCTTTTCAACGAATTCCTGCGTCCGGCCGAATTTAAAGGGGTGAAAAAAAATGGCGAAATTGGACGAATCACGGCACTGCGCGACGCAAGCAACATGAATGAACCAAATGGCAAGTAAGAAGAGGACGTGGAACGCGAAGAAGAAAAAGGAGGGTGGAACGGCTGAGACTCTCACTTTCGTACGTATCGATTTTTCAGCTCACCGACCCACTCAGCGTCAGGGCTTTCGACTAACCTTGAAGAAAACGTACCGACCGACCTAGCTTGCGCTCGGCCAATTATCACGGCCCGACGAAGATGCCCGATAATCGCGTAAATCGGGATCTCGAATCGTAAAATAACAATTGCAACACTTTTCCCTCCACCGAGTATATTTTACGTGTCGTTAAACGCGCTCCAACACCTGCTATTCTATTCCGTTCGGGGAGGGGAAAAAAAGATTGTCGCAACATTGTGAAATTCAAATTCTTCGATCGACAATTGCGAAAGCATCCTGTACGTAATTTACAAAGATAATTGATTTACGTAATTACACGTATTCCCGTGTTTGTATAATTTCATATTTGTTCCATTTACATTTCATTAGCAACCAAGCCACCGTTTATCGACAACCATTGCATTTTACTTCGCGATTGATTCGCGAAAAAAATTCCACCGTCGAACGGTGTTCAAGGATGATCTTATATAAAAAAAAAAAAAAAACTATCCAATTACATCGTAAGTGAACAAGATATAAAATTCCGAAGGTAAAAGTCGTTTAAAAATCGATAATTCGAATATATATATATATATACACATAATAAAGATAGAATTGGGAATAAATCGGGAATCGGCGTAAAATCTTACGCCGTTGGATGACCGGTTTGAACGGTGGTACAACGACCACACAAAAGGTGAGAGGGTGACGCACGTGACGGAACTAATTTCAGCCCCCGAAGAACCTTAACCAAACAATTACCGTGGAGTATACAACGCGTTCTTGCACGCCCGATAAAGACTTTCTCTCTCTCTCTCTCTCTCTCTCTCTCTCATCGATGCTCGAGGCTCGTCGAAGCGAACTCTTGGTCCGTGCACGTGCTCGCGCCTACAGAGAGCGCACAACACGTCCGACCGAGAAAAGTCCGTGTTACGTCTCCTCTGTTCGTACACAGAAGGCTGGTGTGCACGCGTGTATCGGGTACAGGTTACGGGTGCAAGGGAGGAGTATAGGGCGGGGGTGGCAGCGGAGGGTTAGAACGGAGAGGTAGGCCTTTGTTTCGTGTGCTTTTGGGGATTTTCGGCGGCACCCGGTGTGGTGTGAGGTGTACATGCAACGAGTGCGCGAGGGAAACGTTGATATCGCTGCTTTCGTCTGGCTCGCGCGGCTCGTCTCCTCCACCGATCCCCACCACTGTCTCTCTTCGACGAGGCAACGGGTAGTAGCACACACCACCACCACCATCTCCTCCTCCTCCTCCTCCTCCTCCTCCACCACCCTCAACCCTTTTCGCTCCTCTTTCCCTCGCTACCCTTCCTGACCACCGGCCTGCCCTGTCTCTCCTATTCTCCCTCCCCTCACAGGTCCTGAACACCCGCCGACGCATCACCCTCGTCGGATCTTGCACGCACGTGTAACTCGCGATTTCGTCCGTTCACCTTTAACGAAAGGCGGTATTTTCGTACGGGCAGCGGAGCGACGGAGAAAGGGTAAGAGACACGCGAGAAGGGCAGGAGAGCAGAAGGATGGAGAGAGATAGAGAGATAGAGAAAGGGGAAGATAGGGGAGGGAGGAGGAGGAGGAGGGCCTTTTCCAAGCCCGAGGCACATACCGACAGGGATGGACGCGCGACCACCGCAGACCACGGGTCACCCCCGTGGAAGAGCTTTTGATCTCGCCTAAGACACCTTTTTTTCCAACTCTCTTTTTCTTCTCTACTCTCTCCTTTTTTTCTCTCTGTCTTTTTTCCTTTCCTTTCCTTTTTTTCTTTCTTTCTTTCTTTCTTTCTTTCTTTTTTCGTTTGACAAGCCAATAGACTCGGACGGTATCTTCTAGAGGAAGCGGAAGGCCGAAAACGGGACAAGGGGGTGAGGGGAGGAGGTGGGAGGTCGGTGGAAGCGAATGGAAGGGGTAGTTGACGAAAAGTTCGAGGGTCGTAATGCGGTGCAGTTAATTGTGAAGGGAATTGGGACTCGTTACGCGCCGCTAATCCCGTAAAAATGGAACACATTTACGCGGGGGTAATTAACGCGCGAGTGGTGCGTGTGCCCATTTCTCTCTCTCTCTCTCTCTCTCTCTTTCTTTTTTCTCATTTTTAGAGATGCACCGGGAATTACGCCGCGTAATCATCCCTTGCGAGTTTTACGGTCTCATTACTTGTATTTATACGTTTTACCAGACCGTACCTGTGTGATCTACCAAATAGCTGCGCTTTTATCGGTTGCCTTTCGATATCGATGATGTGCGTGCAATTTTTGTCGAAATATAAAAATTCTTCACTTATTTAATCCAATTACTATCAACTCTCGCTTCTCACTTACGACGATGGAAAATGGAAAAAATAACACAATCTGATCCGATATATTTTTAATTTTTCAAGATTATCGAAGGCACACATCTATTTACTATAATTATAAAATCCAACACTATAGGACGGAGCATCGATGATAATTCGATACTCGAGTTGCAACGTTGCCAATATTCGATCACTAATACGCGCACGGAATAAAATAATATAGATAAATAAAAAAAAAAAAAAAAAAATATAAAGATTCGAAGAAGAAGAGTGGCGCACAGTGGAATACGTACAGCCCTGGCGGGAGAAGCGTCGACGTCGTTGACTGAGCCGGCGGGGCGCACGGCGCCAAAATCGATTTTGAAAAGGGAAAGTGGCATGTACGTGCCAGCAGCGTGGCTTTACATATACAGTATGCGCACGATTCGCGACAAAAACGTGTAGGAGGTAAAACTGCAGCCGCGCCGAATAAAGGTTGCAGCACACCGCGTATGTTGCACACAGCCGACCGACCGCACAAACGCGCTCGTTCGCCGCGCGCGATCCTATTCCAACACCGACGTACCGTACGCGTATACGTGTACGCAAACACCGGCGAGGCTTGCAGAGAAGCCAGCCAACATTCACGTACACACGAGGTCTGGTTGATGCCTCTTTTTTTCTGGCCACGAGTACCTCTTTTCCCATTCATGTGTGAGCGTTAGAAGGGAAGTTCGCGTCTCGATTCGGTGTAACGTGCGTGCATGTATACCTGTGTACGGGTGCGTGGCACGTGTACTGCCTTCTCTGTTACGCGTGCGTGTGCATGCCACGCACGTGTATACGATGCCTCGGCTCCGTGAATGGCGCCAGATGATGACAATTTCGCCGATTTTTCGCGGTGTTTAAGCCGGAAACAGTGAACTCGCCTCGCCGGGCTTCGAGGGGACTGTACCCCGCTTTCTCTTCATATTTCGACGGGATATTCGGTTTGGTAAATCGGATGTAACCGAGAATTAGTGAGATAGTCGTTCAATTTTAGAATTTCATCGGGAGTTCTTAATGGATTTTTAGACCTATGAATTCGATCTATTGTATTCGATCGCTGTGGCTGTAATCTTAATTGCATCGTAAAGAATATTTTTATCTTTTTTTTTTTTTTTTCTTTCTATACGTTCGATCATACGAACGTATAGACACGACCTCGATTTCGAAAAGTATAGCAAATTTTTTAAGAAAATAAAGAGGATCGCGAGGTGTAATGCAAGTTGTGTGTACTTTGACAGGATTAGCGTAAGGTTGACTTAATTTTTGTCGGGTTAACTGGCTTTGCTTCGCCAGTTATTTTAAAACTCTACCCGTTTACGTGTACGATTCGATAGATATCGATCATAATATAGGAAATAAAAAGAATCCCCGTTCGATAACGGGGGAGAAGATTTACGATACTTTCGAA